ACAGCGGAGCTTCTGAAAGCGGGTGGAACCCCCGGTACTTAAAGTCCTTCAGAAGCTCTTCAATTCCGTCCTCCATGGTGGCACTACTCCGGAGGTGTGGAGCAGAAGTGCGGTGGTCTTATTCTTCAAGAAAGGTGACAAAGTTCTCTTGAAGAACTACAGACCGATTTCTCTTCTGAGCCGCGTCTACGTGGTGTTTTCGAGTCATTAAGAATCGTCTCGCACGCAGACTCGACGACTTCCAGCCTCCCGCCGGTTTCCGAAAAGGCTTCAGTACCATTGACCACATACATACCCTGCGGCAGATTGTACAGAAGACAGAAGAGTACAATCTGCCACAAAATGAAATTGCCTGGCGTATGTGGACTATGAGAAAGCCTTTGATTCCCTCGAAATTTGGGCGGTGCTACAGTCCCTTCACCGGTGACAAGTTGACTGTCGGTATATCGAAATGCTGAAGTGTTTGTACAGTAGGCCTACGATAGCTATCCGAGTACAGAACCAGAGTTCCAAACCTATCCAACTGCAGAGATGTGTAAGACAGAGTGACGTTATATTCCCTAAACTCTTCACCGCTAAATTGGAAGACGTTTTCAAGCGACTGGACCGGAAAGGATACGGTATTAACATCAATGGCGAGTACATCACTCACCTTCGATTTGCCGACGAAATAGTCCTTATGGCAGAATCAGAAAAAATTTGTTGCTGTTGTTGTGTATCACCTATGCCGGCAGTTGTTGGGAGCACTTTGCTCAAAGTTGTTGACGAGTACGTTTACCTGAGACAAATAGTCCGACTAGGTAAGTCCAACTTCGACCAAGAGGTCAATCGACGGATTCAACTCGGCTGGGCAGCGTTCGGGAAATTACGACACATCTTCTCGTCAGGTATACCTCAAACTCTGAAAACTAGATTGTACAACCAGTGCGTGTTGCCAGTGATGACTTACGGATCTGAGACGTGGTCCTTCACTCCTGGTCGTATGAGGACTCTCAAGGTCGCTCAGCGAGCTATAAAGAGGGCTATGCTCAGGGTTTTTCTGCGCGATAAACTTAGAAATGAGGATATCCGCAGTAGAACCAGAGTGACCGACATAGCCCAACGGATTTGTAAGCTGAAGTGGAAATGGGCCGGCCATATAGCTCGAAGAACCGATAACCGATGGGAAAAAAAGGTTCTCGAGTGGCAGCCTCGTACCGGTAGGCGTAGTGTAGGGCGACCCCTCACTAGATGGAGTGACGACCTGGTAAGACATGCAGAAAGTCGATGGATGCAGGTGGCTCAGGATCGTGCTTTGTGGCATTACTTGGGCGACGCCTATGTTCAGCAGTGGACTTGTGAAGGGCTGTAATGATGATAATGAACGAAAAGTCAAATAGTTCTAGTCAGAGTAGTGAGAGTTGGAATTATAGATCTAAAAGACCTAAAAGCTAATTTGATGAGTTTTTCGAAATAATTCATGCATCCCAAATTAGTTTGTGTAAATTGTGCCAACATAAAAAGATTGAAATAAAAATGAAAAATAGAAACACTTCAGGCTTAAGGGAGCATCTAACATCTTTCCACAAAAAGGAATCACAAATATTTCTTCCTGATAAACCAAAATTAAGTGGAGATATCACACGCTTTTTAATAACCGCTGGATTTATCACACAATTACATAACGCATGTATTATGTAACTAGCAACCGCCCGCGACTACGTCCGCGTGCAATATTAGATTTCCTATGAGAGAGTATGATGAGTGTTGCCCAAATGCAAGAACAAGGCGAGACTTAGCCAGTCTTGGTCTAGGTCTTGCGCCATTACACCTGGTATTGGTCTTGGTTTTTGATTTTTATAAAATTGCTTAAAGAGGTTATTATTACTTAAAACTAATAACTTGAATGACGATTTTCAAGTCTCTATCTTCAAAAACATAGGTTTTCATACAAATTTTCATCCCACAGTTCACCCCCTTTTGGGTGACTTTTTGGAAAATTGCTTATACAGGTTATTATTATTTTAAATTTATTACTTATTATTACTTAAATGCCGATTTTCATGTCTCTAACTTCAAAAACATAGGACTTCCATACAAACTACCAACCCCCCTTTCAATCCCTCAGATTCTCAAAACCGTTACTTAGCTGAACTCTACGCCATAAAAGGAACCTACCTTCCAAACTTCGGGTTTGTATGTTTTATAGATCCTGAAATATCGTGATAGTCAGTCAGTGATAGGAATTTCACTTTTATATTTTTTTATTTATATATAGATTAGAGTGTTAAATATGTATTTATAATTTACCCATATTTTTATTTGTTTTTATAATCGGCGAGACACATGATTTATTGTTTTCTTTCAGTCTGAAAATAGCAGTGACGACATCATGACAGCTACAGTTGATTGGATGGTGAAGAAATATCTTCCCTTCTCATTTTTCGACGACAAAGCTACACAAGTATATTTTCGATCGATTTGCTCAAATATAGTGTTTCCTAAAAGGTCCATACTTAAAGAAGATCAAAGAGCGATTTGAAGAGCCTCAATTGAATCTTAATAACCGACTACAACAATTATCATCTAAAATGTCATTTATCATTGATGGATGGACGTCAATTGCTGGTAGGAGTTACTACGGAGTCACTATTCATTATATAGACAACGAATGGAAGTATCGATCTGTAGCCCTTGATTTTGTAACATCACGCGGTCGACATACTGGGAAAGATATTGAAACGATTGTCCACGAATGTTTATTGGTATATGACATAATTGATAAGATACAGAGTATCACGGTCGACAAAGCAACTGCAAATACCAAAATGTATGAACTGGACAAACAGCTGCCAAACTTTGATTCAGACAATCAATATTTCCGATACTTTGCTCACATTTTGAACCCTATTGGAGAAACCTAATCGATCCAAAGTGGATGAAAAGCTCATTCTGGGTTTTAAATCAGCTCGTGGCAAAATGCTTAAACATTATAAGAAGAGCAACTGTATTTATCGTACCTCTTTAATTTTAGAACCAAGGCATAAACAGACAGACACTTTGGGTACATAGTGAAAATACCCTCCAGAGAATACTGGCTTAATGTGCAGGTTATTTGTGAGGTCGGTATCCTTATATGGTATACTGATGGGTCAAAATGGGCCTCGACGTAGGCTTCTGTATTTATGGGCATCGCCCCAAATTAAAACTTAGTATGAATTAGGGTAGATTCATCTCTATCTTCCAGGCAAAAATTTTTGTCATACATCGGTGTGCAGAAATCAATCTACAAAAACACTCCGTCAATCATATAATCTTTATAAACTCTGATAGTCAGCATCAAAGCTATCACTGAGATCAAACTTAGTAAACTCGAAGGTAGTTGGAAACTGCGTGAACCATATAAACGCCTTGTGTTGTAACAACAAGATTATTTTAAAATGGATTCCAGGCCACGCGGGTATTATAGGCAATGAACTTGCTGAAGAGCTCGCACGGGATGGCTCAAGAGCACACAATTTGGACCCGAGCCATTTTGTGGAATCTCAAAAAGCCTACCCCGATTGACCCTTGAAACCTTTTTATCACAATAAACCACTTAAGGTCTGGTCTGATACACCAGGCTTAAAAAATTTAAAAACCTTAGTTCGGGTTTTTGATCTTAAATTCGCTTCAGATGCATGCAATGCATATTTGCTCAAATTACTTTTATTTCGTTTCTAGGAAGAAAATTTCGCAACGCACATCCCGATCTGACTAATTTGTTAATTCGATACTCGTAGCTTCATCTATGACAGTAAATGAGAACCTCGTAGCCAACCCCTAGTTAGTTGCAGAATTATATGATCAAAGGTAAATCATAAAAAATAAAATTCAATTTAAAAATAATAATCATCTTTATTCAGGCAATTTACACCCATACCAGTAAAATTAATGAATTAAAAATTAAGCAATCTACACAATTTTAGAAATAAATAAATAAATGTCGATCAATCATTATATTTCATCAAAGTAACAATTTTAAATTAATAAATCCAACAGTCATTATAAGTAGGCAGTAATGACAGTATACAAGGTAAATTAATCGAAATAAAATAAAATTTAGTTCATTTTCCTAAGATCTTGGTATTTAAATTAATAAAACAACTTATGTACTACAAAAAAGTTATAAGAAAAATAAAATAAGATGCACAAATTACACAAAAATTAGTACAATAGACAAAAAATTGCCAATTTTTATAAAAAACTTCCAATATCTTGAAAACGGTTAAGTTTTATGTATGGTGTTTCATAGTACAAACAGTCGGTAATGATACAAATTACAACCCCCTAAAGGATCTAGGTCAACTTAACCAATATAATTTATATTGAAATATATATATATATATATATATATATATATATATATATATATATATATATATATATATATATATATATATATATATATATATATATATATATATATATTTATATACTATGTTCCACTTGGCACAACATTTGATGTTCCCTGGTCACATAAAGTAGCAAGGACTTTAAAGCGAGACTCCTTCAATTTTCTTATATTCCCCTTAATCATTAAGGCTAATTCAGCACAAAATGAATATCATATTGGCTGTTTATAGTTTTTAGAATACCTTTATTCTCAGTGAACTAAACAAGTAATCCTGTGATTTTTCCTGTCATAACCAATATGAGGTGTTAAGGCCATTTCATCAAATACCAGTGTACACAATTTGTCATTGGCTTTCATTTCCGGCTTAAGGTGAAAGGTGATGGCAGAACAAATATCTTTTGCAGCATCCTGTAGGCTCTTGGCCCACATTTAAAAAAATGTAATGCCATCACTTTTTCATGAGCTGTGAATCGTCTGCCCATTATGTGTTTACCACATTCTCGAAATTGTAGCATCGTAAAAATTGTTGCTATTGAGGTAAAACTTTTAAATGCTTTCAAGAAAGTATTATTTTCTGATAGATTAATTTCCTTCTTCAGTCTTTTTGTCTTTTCTTCATTCTTTCTTATTTCTCATTTGCTATATTCAAGCTTTTAAGTTTCTTTTTTAACACAGTAATTCTTGTACTAATTTGAGTCCTTTTGGGCTTAGTCACCTTCAAGCCTGAAATTAAAATGACAAAACATTATATTTATATAGACAACCTAGAAAATTTGTACGAGTTTAGTAAAAATAAATTTAATTGCAGCAAGTTGATTGCATTTTGAATCATAATTTGAAACATAGTAGATAAATATTGAAATATATAATATGGTAGGGTTACAGGTTAAGTCGACCTAGATCATTTAGGGCTTGTAGTTTGCATCATTACCGGCTGTTTTGACTATGAAACGCCCTACACCAAACTAAACCGTTTTCAAGATATTGGATATTTTAGTGATGCAATAGTGGAGTACTTGTGCAGGCGAAACATGATGAAATTTAAGGGCAAAAGTGATAAAATATGTTTACTTATTAAATTAATTATTAAAGTAAACATTTTGGTGTTTTATTTGGTACCAGAGCGAGCAAAGCAAACTCGGGACTTGGGGCACACCAACTCAGATAGGTTTGGTTAAAAGAATTTGTGGTTATTTTTTTATAAACCACCCAGAAATAGCGGGGGCTCCATCAACTAAGCTTTGGTATTGCTTCGGTGAAGAGGGGTCACGCCCCCTCCCCGACTACATATTTAAGGTGATTTTTCTTAAAAATTATTTAATAAAATTTTGATCTTTAACATTTAATATAAAAATACTATGCATCTCCAGTGGGAAGAATCTATCCTTCTCCACCTCCCTTACCCACTACCCCCTATTAAAGCGACTTGATACTAAACCTTTACCAGAACCAGCACAAAACCCAGTGGGACTTTTTTTTATAAAATTAATTAACAATATATTATCCTCAATTAATTTATACAATAAAATCAATTTTAACTTACTGGATGTTTGAGCAGTAGTTGTCTCTTCCACATAACTTGATGTTGAAGCAATTTCTTGTGCATAGATTGTTTTAAGAGTATTATTTTTATTTGTAACTTCAGCTAAGGGTGGTCTCTTAGCAACAACACCTGTAAAATCAATATTTACAATGAATGACTATATTGTACTTCAAATATATTGACAACTTAACAATAGTACAAAGAGAAATGTGAACTGAGGGCTCTAACAAAAATTCTAACCTGCTTGGGTTTATTAACCCATTAACGGCGGAATTTTTGTCATGTCTCGGATTTTCGTGATTTTCAAATATTTTAAAATTTATAACACCTTTAACATTAAATCAAGATTTAAAAAAAATGTGCATATCATACTTTTGGAAATATCAGGTGATGCCAAATTGCACCGCTAGCCTACTATAGTAGCAAAATAAATTAAACTCGTACTTTTTAAATCAAGCTTTATTCGAATAAAAAGTAAGTATTACAGAGCATTATTAGGAAAAAAGGTTAAACATTACAAAATGTTGAGCATGGAAAGCAAAATTGCATTCCAAGCAAAGGCCTACGCTACATTTACTGCATTTGGATCTTGTTTGACTTTTACATGTAGGATACGCACATCTTCGGCGTTGTCCTTGTGGATAAGGAATTAGTAAATGTCCAATTCCATCGTACCGGATATCGTCTGACACTCGGTTTCCACTTACGGAAAATTTTGATGTTGCGGGTCGGCCAGTACTAGACGGTGCAGAACTAAATTTTATCAAGTATGTTCGACAATGTGTCTTCGGAAGTTGAGCTAGGAAATGTTATTTCCGGCTTGCCTCGATAATGTCCAAGCATTACAAATCGTAACATCAATCAGGTATGTGAAAAAATTGATCCATAAGGTCTGTACCTCCCATGAATTTATTAGTTTGTGAACACTGCAGGGCGTGGCACCTGAATTTTTTCTTTTCTGCGGCCGAGTAGCGACTAACATTTGTCAGTGGCTGCACACCATGTACTGTGGACATTGCTGTCACCACTGAATTGTCTTTCCATCTAACAACTACTATCCCCTCTTCTTTACTTTTGCTGTAATTATATTGACCACGCTGCTTTTTCAGCATTTGCTTCTTGTCAGGAAGAGGTGTGTTTTTTGGAAGACGATTTTCTCGTACTGTACCTGTAGCATCATAGCCACGGTTTTTTAGTTCATCCAGCAAAGGAAAACCTGTGAAAAGATTATCAAAGTAAAAAGACATGGGCAGCGACTGAATATTTGGCGGTAGGTTATCAATCATTTTAACAAGTGATGATGCAGCTTTTCCAAATTGTTTGTCGTAATCCGAATTTTCGTTTATGCTTTTTCCTTGGTAAATTTCGAAATCGAGTAAATATCCTGTCGGAGTGTTGAGACACCAGTTTTTATATCCAAACCGTATAGGTTTACCGCGCAAGAATTGTTTACATCCATGCCTGACATAGTACTCGATCATGGATTCATCATAGTTCAGATTTGGGTTTGGTACGTAGTTATTGTAAAATTTTTGTTTCAGAATGTTCATCAGAGGTCTTAGCTTCCACATTTTATCTGAAGAATCCATATTGTTATTATCAGCACAATGTAAGAATTTCATGATTGTTCTGAATCTATCTCTTCACATACAATTGTATATCAGATTGTTCCTAAAGTAGTCTCCTTGGTCCCAGTAATGATCTTTTGGTGGAACAGTATTATATCCAGAATTGACAAGGATCGCAATGAAAGCTTTCATTTCATCAACCGAAATTATTGGATTCGGGCAGTTTAGGAAGGCGGCATATTTCCGAGGTTCAGTTACCAGAACGTCATAAAAAGATTCATCCAAAAATAACTCTTAACATTTCGATTGGAGACTTTCCTCTAAATTTGCTGTAGTCAGGATTAGGAAATTTAGTTTAGTTTAGTTTACGACGGGCTGTTTGCCGCAACTCCACGTCTAAGCGCGTATTTTGCGTGTGGGCAGGAATAATATGCTTATTCGAGCCATGATATCTCCCCGAAGAAGGTCAGCAGTCCCTTGATGTTGCAAGCAACTTCAGGGAGCGATCCCGGCGTGCCGAGATGTTTAGCCCTGTATGAAGCGACTTCTGGACACGTCAACCACCGTTTCTTCCTCTCCCATGCATGCACTGCACAGGGGGCTGTCAGTAACACCTATGGTGAATAAATGTTTGTTAAAAGAGCCATGTCCTATGATAGCACTTGTTACTATCGTGATCTGTGGCTTGTTCAGTCTCATTAGAACCTTGGTTAGACGATGTTTATTTCAGGTAGGGCCTCCCTAGCTTGTCTACAGTCTACAAAATTTTTCCAAAGCTGAGCGTGTAAATTATTGAAGTATCTACATACCAGTGAACGAACGTAGCCAAAGGGGATTGGTATTATTGGTTCCGGCCCTATAGTTGCTAGGGCCGATCCCCTTCTGGCCAGTTCATCTGCTGCATCGTTGCCTCTAGATCCACTGTGTCCCTTGATCCATTGCAGTCACATTGTTGTGCTTACATACCTCATTCAATCGTTGATGGCACTCGTATACCGAGTTCGTCACATTGCAACTCAGAGCTTGTAGTACCGCCATACTGTCGGTCAGTATTCTGATGGAGAAGTCTTTCACCTTCCTAGCATCTATTGCTATGGCCGCTTCGATGATACCCATGCATTCAGCCTGATGTGGTACCCAGCGGTGTGCATATGTGGATATTAAGGTCTTCAGAGAAAGCCCCAGACCCCACACCTTCATTTGTCTTAGAGCCATCCGTGAAAACTTTGAGCTCTCTTGGACCCAATCCTTCCAGATGGTGAGTTTCCTTCAATTGTATCCTGTACTTCTTATCGAATAAGAAGTACAGGATACAGTACAGGATTAGGAAATATCGGTCTTGACTCACACAAATCTTTTTGAAGCCAGGTCCGAGAAGAACTCCTTGATTTTTTGCCAAAGGCTCATCATCATCCGTCGAATCATCAGACGAAGTAGTCTGGGATAGTTTTTCTGACACAGCAGAGATCCACTGCAACCACCTCGCCCACGACCTCTCGCTCGACCACAGCCTTGAACAGGTACACTCCCACGACGGTCTGATGAGACGTCTAAAGACTCATTCGGTACTTTGCTACCACATTTAGTGTCTTTTGAGTTTTTAGACGTTTTTTTCTTTGATGTTATTACTACTTCATATCGTGCAATAAGTTGACAACCAGAGAGATTGTAAATCAAGCCTGATTGATCTTCATCTGCCGAGTCTTCATTGGTATGAATGGCTGGATCTAGAGGCTCAATGAAAATACACGACGGCTCCAAATCTTCTTCATCTTCAAGCGCTGCAAGTGCATCATGTAGTGTACAGCCCCTAAAAAAAAAAATAAAAAACCAAAAAAAAAAAAAAGGAAAGAAAGAACAACCAAACACAAAAAACAGAACAACAAAATGTAAAGAAAAAAAGAAAAAAATGAAATCATTCCATATAAACAATAAACCATTTATTTAAAAATAATAATTTTTCAACACTGAAATTTGAGATGTTGGTTTGTCAAAATACTTAATCGTGATTGGCTAAGATCAATATCAAATGACAGCCCGAACTTTTTTCTTATGTCTCTGTGATTGGTTGTGCGATTAATTGCGCGTAAACAAAAAATAACCGCGAAAATTCAAACGCTGTTTTAGTGATGCCATACTGCACCGAACGCCGTTAATGGGTTAATTGCAAAGATTAGTTCCTCTACTACCAATGAGCAAAAAATTACAGCATACACATGTTAGCCATGTAGCATTTGAACAACTAAGACTGAAGGACTACCAACATCTTCCAACAGACAATATCAAACAACAAATACCACAAGTAGCATAACAAAATAAAACAAATGAAAATGAAGCTAAAAGTTACACATTCCATTTTATTAAAATAGAAGTTTATTAGTATTAGTTGCACTATAGAACACCAGTGAAAAATATGCATACTATGATGTAAATTATGGATCTTACAGCAATGTCGAATTTTACAAAGACTGAGGCAAATCAAGTAACTTCTTTTGTTCTTGAACAAATGAATACTGCACAAACTTGGGCATCTAAACTTTAAATATAATAATCTAAGATTGAATGAAGTGAAAGAATGAGATATCAAATTGAAGATCATCATAACTTTAAACAGATACTAAAGGACAATATGATTAAAAAATAATTGAACATTAAACATATTCTAGAATATAGTATGTTAGTGCAATATAAGTTCTCATAGTACTGGAAAAGATCTTTAGATCACTATATGTATATTTGTTATTACAACATAAACTCACATTTCTTCCCAGTTGTACTCTGAGAAAGTTTGATATTTATAAACTGGTGTAGATTTTGATATTCATATGAGCTTTTAAAAAGCCTTAATTTATAAGCTTTTTATTATCATTTGATTCAAATAGTTACTAAGAAATAACAAATTTTCCATAAAATTGCTTTGCATGTCATACATAATATTTTGTCAACATGGAAGTTGAAAATTAGTATTGCAGAACATAGTTTAACAATGATTCAAAATTTATACATTCAATTGTTCATGTTTGACAGTAAAATTAATTATTTGAGGAACAAACTCCCATATTAACTTAACATTCATAATATTTAAGGTAGGTATCACATTGTTGCCCAAGGTGACACTAACTTATATAAAAAAAGAAAGAAGAAATAATATATTGACTGTTAGAACCTGTAAATAATTAGATTTACTCACGGCTTTTAGTCATTACATCCTGAAAATGTAAATTTTATCCGCGCCCATCACTAAATTATACAAACTATGTCTCGAGCAGAGATAATCGAAGTCCCTTTCACGTGCGTGGATCACTGTATTAAGCAAAGATAATCGGAGTCCAATAATAGCCAAGTCGTAAGAAAATATCGGAAAAATATCAAAAATTCAAAACATTCAAAGCACCATCCTTTACGCCAGAAAAACAAAACGCCAATAAAAAGCCGTCAAATTCAAAAACAAACAAAATGGTGGTTTTTTTTTTTGGAGTTTATGGCCTGGTATCTAGACCTTTAGGCCAGGTCTTGAGTATTTTTATTCGGTTTATTATAATTTCCCCACTGTATTTTTGATAAATTTATATAGAGGCACGTAATAGGATCTATTTTTTAACATATCACTCAGGCGGCGGGAGGGATCTTGCACTGTCACTTGATTTTGCACTATGTCACTTATTTCCAGCGTTGCCGTTTTAGCGACTTTCTCGCTAGATCTAGCGGATTTTAACAATGTTTAGCGGATAAAAAAATCGTTTTAGCGGGAAATAATTATTTAGCGACTTCTAGCGACATTTGGACTTTTGAGATGGCGACTTTTATCAAAAAGTAATTCATTTAAGTAATTCATTCAAATAAGTCACTTATCATATGTCCAATTTTGTAATCTACCGTTGGTAACACATACAGTATAATTTCACATATAATATAATTTCACGAGAATTCCTGAACATAAACTACCAATTCAATGTCGTTCATTCACTTTCATCTGTTTCGACCTTAGACCGTGGTCTCGTTTCGACATACATAAATGCAGCAGGAGTAAACATACTCGAAGATTTATTTAATTTTGCAATAGTAATATTATCACTACCGCACCCAAATGCAGAATTTGAACGCGTATTTGGTGCTATCAATGTAGTTAAAAGAAAACCGCGAAACAAGCTATCAGAAAAAACTTTACTATTCTTCTGATTAGAAATCATTTAGGGATTTTAAAAAGAATTGCGCAACAAATGATATTCCCGAAGATGTTGTCAACCAAGTCGATAAAGGCAAACCAAAAGATGGGAACTGGAGACACTGGCGAAGCTTCAACTTCCGCTGAAGTTGTTTTTGAAGATCTGGATCCATAATTTGCTATTAATTTTGAAATTTAGGTACAAGAACCTACTGAGCTAATTGTTTTATTTTTAATAAGATGACTAATGTTTAAACGTGGTTTAAAGATTTAAGATTTTTTTTTTACATTTTTTTTTTAATTTGTACCTGAATAATTTTTGTTTTGGTTGTCATATCATTAACCTACACTATAAATAACTGATTTATATGAAATAGAGTCCGCTCGAATCGAATTCGATGCCGAATTTAGATTTAGATTTTCGGTATTCATTGACCAATTGGCAAGATTTTTCAGTTAGCCCAATGGTACCACAAAATATACCTGGGGACATCTAGCGGATTTTAAGAAAAAGAAAAATCCTGTTTCTGGCGGATTTTTTATGTTAGTCTAGGGACTTTAAAATTTGTAGAACGGCAACTCTGCTTATTTCACTGACAAGAATCAATCTGTCAAATGAAAAGCACTCACATATAAATATGAAATGTTCGATTCGATATCACCAACAGAATTATTACAGTAGGTGCAGTAGCTGCTCTCCATTATGCCCAACCGAGCCAGGTGGGCCGGGACAGTGGAGTGACCAAAACGCAGTCTGTTTATAGTCGTAATAAAGTCCCGACTGGTCATTTTCAGTTTGTTATACCATGGTGTTACAGGCAGATTTTCTTGAACATTTCCATACCATTTACCCTTTTGTTCTTGGTCTTGTTTCCAAAATTCGACCCATAAGCTATTGACCTGGTTGTCAATAGATTCATAACAGTCGGTCAAAGGTACTTTTACTATGGAGATAACATCCAACATGTTGGTTCCATCACGTGCAATTTTATCTACTATCTCATTTCCTGTTATGCCCCTATGTGATGGAATCCACATGAAAGAGACCTGTATACCCTTTTGTGCATAACTAAATAACAACTTTTTAATATTATACAAAATATAGTTTTTTTTAAAGTCAAATCTGAGATTGGTTAAACTTTGGACCATACTTAAACTGTCTGTTAAAATTAAAAAAAATATTAAAACTATTTATATGTGCGATCCTCTTCAGGGCCTCGAGGGCCGCATATACCTACGCAGTGAAAACACTGCATTTAGGATCCAAAAGAAAACTTTGACCAATCTTGGATTGGGGATCATAGACAGCACTGCGCACAAAGAGCTCACTTTTGCCACCATCTGTATACAAAGTATAGTAGTTATTATCGGAAAGAAAACTTAATAATTCACAGTTATTAAAAATTTTTTTTAGTAACAATATTGGTCTCAAATATAATACAGGAATATAGGTAAGAGTAGCATGTCCACTTTGATTGTTTAATTATATTTTTAAAATCTTCATTCATTTGTAGAACAATGAGAGGCAATACTGGGAAATAACCTCGTAAAAGCTCACCTCCCAAAGTCTGCTGTGCCGAGGATTGTACAGGAAAAGGTACTATTTTTTTGAGAACATTATCATTACCAGATAACAGCTTTAGTAAGTATTTCTCTATTAGTAGGAGTCTTCTGAGACACAGTGGCATTATTTTGGTTTCAACTTCCATAGCTCGTATGGGAGTTGAACACATAGCCCCAGTAATAATTCGCAGAGCTTTGTTTTGAATTATGTCTAGTTTTTTTACACTACTACTATTTGTGTAGGCTAAAAAACTGTAGTCGAAGTGGCTTCTGACTATAGATTTATACAGCATACTTAAAACTTTGGGGTCTGCACCCCAAGTCACACCAGCTAAACATCTTATAATATTTAAACCCTTAAGAGAATTAGTTATAATGTGATTGATATGTAAATCAAAACAAAGTTTGTTATCAATGACAACACCCAAGAATTTATGGTTAGGTACAACTGAAATTGGATGATTATTGTAGAGTATGCCATTAGAGGGGAAATCTTTACTAAAAATCATGGCCTTGCTTTTGTTGGGGTTAATGTTTAGAGCCAACCTGTCATTATAATATATGTACAATTGGTCTAAAGCATTATTTATATTATTTACAGCTCTATCTACACTATGGTCTGTACAATATATTACAAGATCATCCGCAAATTGTAGAATATTTACACCTTCTATATTTACAAAATTAAGAATTTGACTAGTATATATATTGTACAGCAATGGAGATAATGTAGCCCTCTGCATTGTACCTTTGGAGACCTTTCTGGGACCATGGAGAATATTATTATATCTTATATACAAAGTTCTATCTGTTAAAAAATTAAATAACCAATGACAAAGCATGCCTGGTATACCAATGTCAGAAAGAACTTGAACCAAAATGCCAGGGTCAACATTATCAAATGCACCTTGAACATCCAGAAAAACACAAACACTGGACTTATTATTATTATTGGCATATTTCAGATCTGACAAGAGAGAGATGAAGCTGTCAGCACAACTTCGCCCTCTCCGGAAGCCATATTGAACATGTGGAATGATGTTATTCGCCTCTACATACGAGGGTGGATTGAAAAGTACTCGGCCTAACCAAGAAAATAAACACATACTAAATCAGTTATATTTTTATTTTTCTACATAATCACCATCAAGTTCAATACACTTTTGCCACCTCCCCTTCCAAGCATTTAGACCGTTGAAAAAAAATGATTCTTCCTTAGAGTCAAAATATGCGTCTACAGCTGCTTTGACCTCGTCGTTTGTCGAAAATCTTTGACCTCCCAAGTGCTTTTTTAGGTTAAGGAACAGAAAGAAGTCTGATGGTGCCAGATCAGGTGAATACGGCGGATGCGGTAACAGTTCAAAGCCACAGTTGTGAATTTCAGCCATTAACTGTACTGACGTGTGAACACGGGCGTTATCTTGATGAAACAGGACTTTTCTTCTGAGCATTCCTCGACGTTTTTCTTTTATTTCCTCTCGTAAATGACGTAGTAAGGTGCAGTAGTAATCAGAGTTTATAGTCTGAGCCCTTTCAAGATAATCAATCATAATCACACCTTTCGAGTCCCAGAATACTGAAGCCATCACCTTATTTGCCGACAAAATCGACTTAGCCTTTTTTAGGGGTGGTGAACCAGGTCTTCTTCACTGTTTTGATTGTTGTTTTGTTTCCGGTGTACAGTAATGAACCCATGTTTCGTCCATAGTAACAAAACGATTCAAAAAATCATCTGCATCGGCTTCAAATAACTCCAAACAGTCGCGTGAAATAGTCAATCGCGTCCTTTTTTGTTCAACTGAAAGCAGTCGCGGAACCCACCTCGCAGACACCTTGTGGAAACCCAACTCGTTGACAATGATGTTTTGAGTTCATTCATAAGAGATGCCTATAATCTCGGCTATCTCTCTAATTTTTAATCTGCGGTCTCCCATTATTAAATCAAGTACTTTTTTAATATTTTCGTCAGTAGTTGACGTCGAAGGCCTTCCAGAGCGGGGTTCATCTTTCACACTCTCTCTACCACGCTTAAATTCTGCTATCCAGTTTTTGTCGGATGAATATGACAGAGCACAATCGCCTAATGTACTGACCATTCATCATGGATGGCTTTTGATGATAGCCCCTTCTTATGGAGGTACTTAATGACGGCACGCTGCTCGATTTGCTCCATTCGCGGAAATTATGTCCGATTACTTCTTTAATAAATTTATAAAATCACAACTAATTATCGCACACGTTTCGAACTTCACACAATGAACTAACCTGAACTGAACTAAATAATATGGATAGATTTGATTTTTAGAATTGAATGGATCTGTGTTAGGCCGAGTACTTTTCAATCCACCTAGGTAATACTCAAGACGCATCTTTATCATGTTTTCATTAAGCTTTCCAACACAAGATGACAATGATATGGGACGATACGAATTAGGATCTTCAGGTGGCTTGTCAGGCTTAAGTAGAGGGATTACA